AGCTCGTTAGCCCTGTAAGGCAATCCATCTACATCCTGAGGACCTCGCTGCCACCGTCCAAGCTCGCTTGGCCCCGGCAGATGAACCTCAGGATTAAAGGGTGGGCTCAGTTCCGCGCACACTGTGTCTCACCTAAAAAATCCAATGCGCAGGCTGGAAGGTGGAAAGACCTTCCCTGGTTCTTCGTTCACGAAGACTGGCCATTACTTACTTACTTATTGTTGAGCTGAATGCTTTGGGTCTGGAATAAGTAACTGATTTCAGTTCTACAGATTAGGAACTTGAACCTTTCTCTTTGGCTGGCTTAGCCATGGATTTGTCTAAGTGCACATTCAGGTTTTTCTCTGAAAATTTATGCTTCAGTATTGTTAAATTGGTACTGAAAAGTGCACTTCATATGGAAATTACTTCCATCCTGTTTATGTAGTATGTTTGTCTTCTTTTTCCTCTTGGTTTTACTACTCCAGTTGAAATCTAAACTGATTGACAGTCATGAGACCTACAGAGCTACTTGCTCATTTCCCTGGGGTGGAATGAGGGAGAGAACTGGAAGAGTAAAAGTGAGAACTTTCAGGGTGAGATAATGACAGTTCCAACAGGTAAAGGAAAAGCCATGCACACAGGCAAAACAAAACAAGGAATTCGTTTGCCACTACCCATGGGCAGGCAGGTGCTCAGACATCTCCAGGAAAGCCAGGCTCCCTCGTATGTAACTGTAACTTGGGAAATCAAATGCCATCACTCCAAATCTCCCCCATTCCTCCTTCTTCTCCCAGCTTTATATGGTGAGCCTGGCACCATACAGTATGGAATATCCCTGTGATCAGTTGGGGTCAGCTGTCCTGGTTGTGTTCCCTCCCAGCTCTTTGTGCATCCCCAACCTGCTCACTGGTGAGGTGGGGTGAGAGGCCTTGACTCTGTGCAAGTGCTACGCAGCAATGAGTAAAACATCCCTGTGTTTTCAGCCCTGTTTCCAGCACAAATCCCAAACCAGCTACTATGAAGAAAATTAGCTCTAGCTCAGCCAAAACCAGCACAGAAATAAAAGAGGAGGAAGGGTAGAGTGGAGTAGTCAAGTCAGAGAAGGGACATACTTTGTGTGAATGTCCTTCAAATGAGAGT